AATTTTATAGTATGTGTACAGTGCAACAGCAAAGAGGTTTTTTACATTTTAGAGAAGTCAAGTTGCGATAGCGAACAGGACCACATGGAGATGCCAAAAAAAACCTAAGCCAATGCCTGCTGACTGCATGTATCTACTACTACAGTACACGGATCCATTCAGTATAACTAAACACAGCAACATAAACATTACAAATCAAAACATTATCGTGAATGTGTGTGGAAACAACGTGAATGTACGGAAAACGCGTTAACGTTGACAGCCCTAATATATATATATATATACTAACTAATATATAATGTTGTAACAAAATTGTTTGGTGTGTTATGATTCCAATTTAGTTCTGTCAACAAGCTTTCCACCATACTGTGGTGTCCATATTTTTAAGTGTCCACATACTTTCTGGGTCCACTGAATAGGCTATTACTGATCTTTGGCCACTACTAATATTCAAAATCAAGAAGCTGACACTTAAAAAAAAAAATGTAAATACTAGATGGGATGTAAAATTGTATGGTAAGAATACATGACGCACTGACATATAAGCACTTGTTTGAGCTAAAATGTTGCATTATATGCATTAACTGGTAAAATCTGGGGCACTTCCTGCTACATCATTTCCTGTTTCCTTTCACACAGATGAAGATTGGTATCACAGAGACTGAGATACAGGAGATGACCAAAGAGAGGATGCAGAAAGTGGACGAGATCAAACAATCACTAGATGATATGAAAGTGAGTAACACAGCAGCTTCACTTGTTTTCTTCATCCCGCACCATCTAAAATCCCCAAAGTCTTAGAGAAAAATGAACAGCTATGGTTTTAATGTCAGCTGATTTTAGTGGAGCAGGACATTTGGTCATACAGTGTCAGGGTTTTTCATCACACTTAAATCTAGATATATGATGAAAACCTTCCATCATCCTTGCTTCTGCTTCCCCTCTGTGCTCCAGATGTTGTCAGAGCATGAGGTGCAGCGCAGCATGCAGCTGTTTGGAGCTTTGATAAGCTCTCTCGAGCGCAGTCAGGCCGGGCTGCTGGAAGTGACTGAGATAAACCGTCGCTCAGCAGAGCACCAGGCTGAGCTCATGATCAGAGAGCTGGAGCAGGAGATCACAGAGCTGAGGAGGAGAAGCACAGCGCTGGCTAAACTGGCCCAGACTGAAAATTACATCACTGGACTGAAGGTCTGTAATGTTGTTATGTGTCAAGACAACATACACATGCCTTAGGCATCAGATTTCAATAGACTAGAGTAATAGACTGTCCAGGTCATCTTTTCAGTCTCTTCTCTTGTACTATTTATTTTATTTTAAATGTCATAGAGACAGAAGTGGGTTTGTTTGACATGAGCCAATAAGAAATCACCTCAATGCCATGGCAAAAGCATAGCAACACACACAAACACACAAGCTCAGAATACCTTAGCAACCACATATCAAAGCCCTTAGCAATCATTCACAGCACCACAACACAACCATGTTTTGCTCTGACAAAATCTTTTGGAATTTCAAAAATGCACACTACCGATCAAAAGTTTTGGGTTGGTAAAAAAAATAAAAAAAATTTTGAAAGCAGTCTCTAATGCTCACCAAATCCCCAAAGTCTTAGAGAAAAATGAACAGCTATGGTTTTAATGTCAGCTGATTTTAGTGGAGCAGGACATTTGGTCATACAGTGTCAGGGTTTTTCATCACACTTAAATCTAGATATATGATGAAAACCTTCCATCATCCTTGCTTCTGCTTCCCCTCTGTGCTCCAGATGTTGTCAGAGCATGAGGTGCAGCGCAGCATGCAGCTGTTTGGAGCTTTGATAAGCTCTCTCGAGCGCAGTCAGGCCGGGCTGCTGGAAGTGACTGAGATAAACCGTCGCTCAGCAGAGCACCAGGCTGAGCTCATGATCAGAGAGCTGGAGCAGGAGATCACAGAGCTGAGGAGGAGAAGCACAGCGCTGGCTAAACTGGCCCAGACTGAAAATTACATCACTGGACTGAAGGTCTGTAATGTTGTTATGTGTCAAGACAACATACACATGCCTTAGGCATCAGATTTCAATAGACTAGAGTAATAGACTGTCCAGGTCATCTTTTCAGTCTCTTCTCTTGTACTATTTATTTTATTTTAAATGTCATAGAGACAGAAGTGGGTTTGTTTGACATGAGCCAATAAGAAATCACCTCAATGCCATGGCAAAAGCATAGCAACACACACAAACACACAAGCTCAGAATCCCTTAGCAACCACATATCAAAGCCCTTAGCAATCATTCACAGCACCACAACACAACCATGTTTTGCTCTGACAAAATCTTTTGGAATTTCAAAAATGCACACTACCGATCAAAAGTTTTGGGTTGGTAAAAAAAAAATTTTTTTTTTGAAAGCAGTCTCTAATGCTCACCAAGGCTGCATTTATTTGATCAAAAATCCAGTAAAAACTGCAATATTGTGAAATGTTATTACAGTGTAAAATATTACAGTGTAAAATAGCTTTTTTTTCTGTTTGAATGATTTTTTAAATGTAATTTATTTCTGTTATGACAAAGCTACATTTCAAGAAACATTTTTTATTATTAGCATAACTGGAAAGAGTTGTGCAGCTTAATAAACAAAAAAGGATGTTTTGGGGATTCTGTAATAAATAAAGTTCAAAAATAGCATTTATTTGAAAGAGAAATCATTGGATCGATGTAATAGTCTTTACTGTCACTTTTAATCAATTGAAGGCATCCTTGCTGAATGAAAGTATTTCTTTCAAAAAATAAAAAAAGCTTACTGACCCCAAACTTTGAACAACAGTGTAAATAAATAAATTACTTTTCAAACTGGCAAATAAAACCTATATTTAAAGTTATATATATATGTATATATACACCAGTCACCTTTCTTTATCAGTTTGCCAGAGGAGTTAAAAATGCTATAAGACATTTTACAGTGGGAGCAGTCTGAAAATAAGGGGGGAAATAAGCATGACTTGGCAAACATCAAGCTCAACAATTGCTCCTGGTCTTCCTCAACAGGGCTACTCTGACGTCAGCACTCCCATGTCGATGAAAGACTGGACGGGCGTCTCACTGACCTGTGATCTTGGAACTAAAGCAGTTTACAGCTCTGTCTGTCAGCTAGTGGAACAGTTTAAGGAGGAGCTTCAGAAAGTACCTGCAGTCTGTGAGTGACACCTGTCAAACACAACACTACAGTGCCATCTAGTGGCAGATGGAGAACTTACTTCATGTGTTTTCTTTCTGCTCTAGGCCTCTCTGTGTCTGCTAGCCAATCACTGGTGAAGTCACACCCAAGTAAGTAAGACTGCTGCTGGCAAGTGTTCGTCTTACCATGATTCATTATTTAACTGTGGATCTAGAATTACGAAATGCATTTTTAAACTTCATCTTTTCAATAACAATTATCTTATTTTAATGTTTTGCAGAAGTGAAGAGAATACAGGAATATGCAGGTATGTGTTAAAGATTACATTTTATTGCAGTGTATACATAAGCAGGTGCTGTAAAGTTTTTTTTCTCTCTCAAGACTTGATAACAGGTTTTCCCTGTTATGTGTAAAGTCCTAAATTGTTGAGATAACAGTTTATTGATTGTTAATTCTAGCACATCTCATCTGTATCCCTTGACGGCCATAAGAACTTCAGTTCTGTTGTTCTTGACTTGAATTTTTCTGAGCATTTCAGAACTTGTCAAGCAGTATGACATTCTATAATTAATCTAAAACTATGTCAAACTGCATTTTTCTAATTTGCTTGATCATTTCTCATTTTTATTTAATTAATTATTATGTACATGCTTTTATATGCCATTATGTTAATTGAGACAAATCATAGATTTCTGTGCATTATACTTCTAAACTAAATAAAAAGGGCTATTTATTAGTTATTAGTTAATTTGTCTTTTATATACAAATTAAATTTAATATAAATGAATTTAAATTAATACAGTTTCAATATAATTAAATTAAAGTTAGAATTTACATATAGCACCAAATTTAAAATTTTTATTTATTCCTGTGGTGGTAAAACTACAATTTTCAGCATCATTACTCCAGTCTTCAGTGTCACAAGATCCTTCAGAAATCATTCTAATATGCTGATTTGGTGCACCAAAAAAAATTTTTTTTTAAAAACTTGAAATATAAATATTTTGTGACATTACACTTAAAAATCGTACTGACCTCAAAGACCTCACGTGTGTGTGTGTGTTTGGGTGGGTGGATGGATGGATGGATGGATGGATGGATAGATAGATAGATAGATAGAGAGACAGATAGACAGACAGACAGACAGACAGACAGACAGACAGACAGACAGACAGACAGACAGACAGACAGACAGACAGACAGACAGACAGACAGACAGACAGACAGACAGACAGACAGACAGACAGACAGACAGACAGACAGACAGAGACAGACAGACAGATAGATAGATAGATAGATAGATAGTGT